GGTGTACAAAACCAGATTGGTAATGGTCTAACAAGCATGCAGAAAACAGTCCATAGTGTAGTTCTCTTTCTGACTGCAAGCACAGCGATGACCTACCTCTGTATGACACCAATAAGAAAGAAAAGTTTTATTTCAAAGCCAACACCTGATGAGCATCTTGCCAATTTTGATGTTGGAACTTCAGCATTATGCTATGAGAGAGCAGGGTAGATTTTTGGCACATTGCACTTTATTTGTACTAACATTTGGGATCAGTCATGGTCCTGTTACGTATCTATGCCAATTACTAATATACTTGTTCCAATTATAATATCCAGAACGGCATTAATATGCTCTACTTCATCAAAATAGTATGTTCACATGTACTCAGTTTCACAAAAATGGTATTTATATTATTGAATTTTAACAAGACTAGCTTTGGGTGATGAAGCTTTCCAGTTAGGGACACTGATTTGAATCATTGCCCACAGTGACAGACAAACAGGCAGCTGCTTGTGGGTTTATACCAAAAGAACCACTTCTCTCTGAGTCTAGTCTCTAGAGGTACACATTTTGTATCTGTCTAGGTTTGTATATGGTATTTGCCATCACATGTCTGCAATTTGCACCAGCCTAACATACAGATTTTGGATACAGGACAAAGACAGAAAAAAGATGTGGACATGAGTTTTCACACATTGCTCTGCTCTTTTTGGGTGTCAGGGTAAATCTCAGTTTTGATATCTGACACAGAATCATCTCAAACGCATTCAACATCTGGGTAGGTAGAGTGAAAAAATCATTAATTTCTATAGATAAAGTAAAATTTACCACGTAAAGCCACTGTCCAGGATACAGTCTTAAACAATTCAGATACCTCCCTGAAGGTGACAGCTCATTTACAAATAGTTTACATTGATATTAAATAGAAAGTAGGAACACATTAGGACCGCAGAAGTGGCTAATCACTCTCCTTCTATTAATGTCATAGAACCTTTACAATTTATACCACTGAAGATTTCAAGCCGAAATTTCAAGAATGGAATCATCCAAGGCAAAATAGCCAGAGGACTATAAACAGGCATGTAGTATAATACATCTATGAGAGGTCTCAGAGTTTTAACTTTTATTTAGTCTTCATCTGAATTGGCTTTCACTGATGTCTCTATATGTCTTCAAGGTATGTAGATGTAATTCATATGCAGTGTGTAGTGCAATCATAACTATCATTTGACAGAAAACCATGTACAAAAATAAAGGACATTCCTAATACAAGTAGGTATATACATGCACAGTAGCCAAACTGCCTCTGTACAATACTTTGAACCGTCAGCATCCTGAGTCTTTGTGGCACTTAGACCATGTGGCAAAATGCAGAACACCATCTGAGAGATCACTATCCTGATCAGGTATTGAAAATGATACATAATTTAACATGATAATCTAACATGTCTTCCAAAGCAGCAGTAAAAATGACAAATATTTACACTTCTGTCTGAGTGCGGCTATTTAAAGTAGAGCAGCTTGATTAAGAAAATGAAATTAATTGTTTCTGACCATGCAAATTAAAATTCTGAGCTAATCCTGGATGTTCTTTCATTCCAGTGCAACCGAGTTGAGGGAGTGAAGGTGAAGTAAGGAAATGGCCCTCCTGGAGTACTTGATTAAACTTCAAAATTCCAGGACTTTCCTCTCCCTGGAAAGTTTTACACGAGAGTCAACATTCCACTATTACTCAGTGACACAAATATTCAAGGAAAATATTTTTCTGTAGCTTGCACTTATAAAAGGCACTGATCCATTTCAATCAGAGTAGACATAGCAGGGAAGAGGCTAACCATTGTCTTCTTCTACTTTAATTTCATATAGCATAAATGCTTAATTCCATTACTGAAGCAGCAAATGCAGCCTTTTCCTTTAAATTAATTTATGGCGTAATGGCATAATAAACTATCTCCATCTCAAAACCATCAAGGATTTACCATTTGAAAAGATTCTTGTTTTAGCTCTCCTCCAAAAATAATAATTATTTGTAACAGTCTATGTGAAAAAATAATTCCCTCTCACTATGCACCCTTTCATTATGAATAGGAACTTAAAAATGTAAGTGCAGCAGAAAAGCACAAATGTTTCTGACATCACAGGACCCCACTCCCTTTCCATCTGAAGCCATCCTAGAGCAGATCCTATGAACCAAAAGGTTGATTTCTATTTTTACAAAAGCCCTTTGATCATCTTCTTCTTTCATTTAAGTTTTTCCTCACAACTGTGTTTCCTCCTGTTCCAAGGAATGTGGCGGGACATGGCAAGATGCTGGAAGAGATGCCAGCTTCTGAAGCTTAGGGTGATGCAGAGGTTTTGGCCTGTGGAAAGAACGTCGGCTTTGTACACGTCTGGCTGCAGCAGACCTGTAATTCCCTTCTATATCAAGCAACATTTTCTTCTCTTGGGGGTCCTTCATGTAGGAGTCTTCCAGCCCTTCAAACATAAGCAAAGTATTCTCTTCTTGTGAATTCTCTGACTTGAAGCTAACTTCAGAACAATAACCTGAGTTTACTGTCTCTTTGTTATTGATATCTGTACCTGATTCCCAGAAGAGATCAGGTACATTTGGGTCACATGAAGCAATGTACTCAGAGACAGCAGAAAGAGAAATATTCCCTCTGTTTTCCAATGAAGAATAGTTTTGTGTCCAAGGCATTTGAAGGCAAGAGGGGAAGAAGTGGAGGGGATTCACTGAAACGCTTCCATTTTGGTTTAGTTGATCATCTGAAGAGGAGTATTCTGTCATTTCAACATCGTGGTCCATATCACCTAGAGAGCACAATTAAATTAAAACACTTGTTTTCTATTTGTACACAGTTTATCCATTAGTATGCTGGCTATTGGGCTTTGCTTTTGGCTATTTTTATTTAAGTCTTACCAAAGTGAGTGGTTAAAGATTTTTTTTCTGCTGAAGACCTCTACTCTGTACCCAATTCTATCTTGGACAACCTGAAGTGAATTAATTAAACTTCTTATCCTTGATGAATATCAGGCAAAACTTAACTCAGTGTTTAGATGAACAACTGCCTGTTTCAGATAGTTAGGAGATGGAGCCATCGTCTGGTCACTAAGGTGTATCTTGAAACAGTCCTGATTCTCAGCAAGGAAATATTTCAGAGATTTTTGAAACAAATTGTGTTTTTTCAATCAAGTAGCAGAGGGTTTGATTCCAGGAAATCAATCTCTTATTGATCAGAACCTATGATCAGTTTTCTGTATATATTAGGTATGTAGAGAAACTTAACATTTACACTCTTGGCTTCCATTTTCCATTGTTTTTTCAAACCTTTTAATTGAAATTTTAGTACCATTCTCCTGTTGGGAGAATTTTGTTAAGGAGATCATTCAGAGGACTGTTTCAGAGAGTAATAAAGGTGTATGCTTATTAGCTTGGGAAATACAACTTTGCAAAACACTTATTAAGAAACACAATAGTCAAAAATCCAGTGATTTTCACATATCAAAGATGATCTTACACATACCACTTCCTAATAATAAACTGAATTATAAATAAAGTAATTAAATGGAGGAAAAGAGCAAAGGCTTGCAAGAAAATGTTCTGCAGGTCATATGTCAATATTCTGTGACAATGTTCACAGTGGGGAAGAAAAGGTGAAGTGAATTTCAATGTGGATAAATGTCAAGGTGAAATTTTCCTTTTGGAATGCTGCTAATTGTTCACACTTTTAATCATGATATTGGACTGTAATTCACAATCATTTAACTAATCTAGTGTTTATTTTAAAACATAATTTAAAAATAAACAAAGATGCATTATTAAGAAACTCAGTACTGAAACCAGACACAGACCTACAGTCCACCCCAGTAAAGAAAGTGATATGCTTCCTCAATTACCCTTGAACTAGCACATCTTCTGAATGGACAGAAGCCAGAACAGAAGAAAAATGGAACTACTTTTTCTACTTCTTCTCAAGAGGCTGTGAAATTCTTCTTATGTCAAAATTAGCAGTATTCATTCTTAGCCTGAGGTGTTTGTCTGAACAAAGTTTCATCAACTGGCTAGAGAATACTTTCAGCTTACTTTTTTGTTGATGCACAGGGGACACTCTGTGACAGGTATTTGTGACCATGGATTCCAAAAAAGTATATTCATGATGCCACTGACTTGTGCATTGCATTGCACAATCCCTGAAGTGCCCTGTGTTCTATTCAATTACATCTGAACTGTGGACCTGACCCAGCTCATCTGAAGCACTACCTGACTTGATTATAAAAATGAAAGCTGATTTTATGGTGTGGAAAATTTCCACGCAGCAGAAGTTAAAGGGAAACTGGGATATTAATTTAAACCCAGAGTCAATTAAATTTTAAGCCTCCAACACATTAGAAGCAACAAGTTATTTGCTGCATCAGAAAGCTAAGCTTTTTTCTCGTTTCAAAAAAAGGTATGGATTAAGGTAAATTCACAGTTTAAGGATTAAGCTCTAAATAGAATTCTGCTTCTCTACAACTCTGTTGTGTAATTATCCCCACAAGGAGACTCTGATGCATTTTAGTAAATATAATTAATTTTAAACCCCTTTCTTATGTAATTTAATGGTGCATCAGTAGTGTCACTGAATAGTTACATTGTACCAGTGGGGCATTTTTTCTTCCTGGACACTGGATAAATAATCTGGAAAGATGTTCACAGCTAACTCAAGGCTTCTTACCAACAGAGTCAAAAAATTTTACTCCTTTTAGGGAATTCTGTTACCAATTTTATCATCTAGGATTGACTAACTAGGAAACCTGAAGCCTCTTGAACTTGTATGCCCAATATTCTGGTATTTGGAATACTATTTTCTTGGCATTTACAATATTCAAATAAAAATAAAGAGAATGACCCCTATCTCCTGTAAAAGTAGCAAGGCATTGGACTCCAAATAGCTGAACAGCTTTTCTGCAGAAAGAAAATAGAAAGGCATTTTGTTAATTAAGTCAAAGGGAAATAAAAGATGTTCAGTTGTACAAAGAAATCAGGAAAGAAAGACACTTTCTGAAATAAGAAAAAACGGAAGAATAAGTTTACTTCTCAGGATTGATAAGAAGTCTGGTTAAAAAATAAAGGTGATAATATCTTTTAAAATATTACATATGTGTTGATTCTGGGAGAAAAGATCTGGGTCGGTCCTCTGGGCCATCTGCTAGCAGGAAGGAATCTGTTGATTTATTGCTGAGCCGGATTGGAGTGAGTCGTCTGAAGTTGTCTGGAGAATATGGGAGCTGCACTCGGGCCCTTTGTGATGGTACCACAGTGTCTTCACCAGATAACCATGGTGAGAACTTCATGTAGATGCTTTGGTCATCATCAGCTGAAAATACTGGGTTATCAATTCCTAAAAAAAAAATTCACTGGTGACAAATAAAAGTAATCAAAATAATTTCTTGATGCTTTATAAAAGGAAAAAGGCTGTTAGAAAAAATGGGCTGATACACTGGTATGTGTGTGACTAAGTCAATACACAGACCATTACACACACATATACGTTGGTTATAGCTAGACATATATTGGATTTCAATAAAGAGAAAAATTGGTTGTCACATCAAATTTGTAATTATGCTAGGGCTATCTTGAGACAAAAAAATAAAATCAATAAAAGAAATAATCAGTCCACAAGTGTTAAGCAAGAGAAAAAAAGAGCACAGCATAAAATAACTGCAAAAAATTCAAATAAAATACATAAAAAAGAAATAAGATATGGAAAAAAAGTGTGAAAAAACCCCAACTTCACAGCTTCATAAACAGATGAGTGTGAGGTAGCTATGGCAGGCCACAAAACAGTCAAAAGTAAGATACGGGAGCTTGTTCAGACAGTTACCAAGTTTTACAAGCTTTTACATCTTGTCATCCACTTATTTCTAGGTGTCTTTATATGTATTCAAACATAGAATTTGTCATGAAACAGTGTCATGCATAAACTGCATTTAAGGGTGTCTGCCACAAGAGTATGGACACAAGGGTTTTTCTTCACTGTAGGTACCAATTACACATGAAGCAAACAGTGGCATGCTGAAAAAACTTAAGCACAGAAGGGCTAAAGATAAATACTAAATTTTATAACTCCATAAATTATATGATAGTTGTAAGCTTCCAATCTAATATTTTGGAGTATTAAAGGGCTAGAAATCAAGGGCATTAAGTGCTCCAGAAGTGCTGCAATCTGCCCTTTTCAATGACTTCCATAAGCCTGAAAGGATCTGATGAGATTGTGAAAATAAAAGTAGAAATCTTGCCTGAAATAAGAAGAACAAAATTTATCACAATGAAGTTCCAATGCAAGTGAAAAACAATTCCAGAGCATTAGTATTGACTGGTCTTATGAAGTAAGACAATTCTAAAATAACATTTCCTTCTGCTAGAAATAACTACTTGCTTTAAAACTGGTTTTAAAGGTAGTCATATCCACAACTGCTGTCAGTTTCAAATGTGATGCTCTCCATACCTCCAGATGTCCAAAAATCTGTATTTTCAGACTGAAGGCATAAAATCACTCAATTAAAAAACAAAAACAAAAACAAAAACAAAAACAAAAACAAAAACAAAAACAAAAACAAAAACAAAAACAAAAACAAAACAAGAGGAAAAAANNNTCAGACTGAAGGCATAAAATCACTCAATTAAAAAACAAAAACAAAAAAAAAAACAAAAACAAAAAAAAAAAAAAAAAAAAAAAAAAAAAAAAAAACAAAAAAAAAAAAAAAAAAAAAAACAAAACAAACCCAAACCCACCCAGGCTAAGTCATTAGCATTTCTAATACATTTTGTTATATTTGAGGGAAAAAAAGATATTTGTAGGTAATAAGTATTTTTACCAGCAGGAGCATCTGTGAAATTTTGTTTTGTCACATTAGCCAGGAAATCAACTCCTTTGCCTAGATGCAAAGTCTCATAATCATTATTTTCTTCTGATTCAGAAAACTCCACATCTAGGGGAAAAGAAAAAAAAATGCAATTTTATTAGAGATTTGTATCAGTTCTGATAGAAAATGCTATTTCCTGCTGGTTTGATGCTGCCATGGTTATCAAAAATGCATCTTTAACAAGGATTTTCATAATTTGACACAGGTCAGCATTAGTATAATGACTAGTTTAAAACCTAATGAGGTCATTGCTTCTTTAACTGCAGTAGAATAAGTTTTGCAATAGCTGCTAAACTACTTGTTAAGTCTGTCTTCCAATTAAACTTTTTTGGTATTAAGTAGATGACAACATCTCTACACAGAGTTCTTTAATAAGACAATATTGAATGACCTATTAATGAGTATTTGGAAGGCATTTCCCAAGCAAAGTAGTTCTAGAATATTACACTTAGAGAGCCAACCTGTACTGCTCCTCTCAGTTAAACAAAAATAATACTCAGTAAATAATTCAAAGAAGGTACATAAGGAAAAATGTATTTGCTTGGAGGTACTGAGAAAAGATAAATTCTTCTCTATTTTATGTGAGTTGTGTTTGAGATCAAGGCGTTACAGGCATAAACAGAGGGAAGAACAAATATCAAAGTTAGTTCAGTGGCTTTTAACCACATTTCAGTTTTGAAGTGACATGTATTATTTTATAAATGTATAATTAACATGTTAGCACCCATCGCATCTTGCCATGCCTGACACCAGTGCCAAAAAATGGCTAAAACAGGAAAGAATTTTGGGCTTTATATGCAAAACCAGCTTTTGCTAGGGATAGTCCCCAGGCTGGTCAGCTTCCAGTTACACTTCCAAGCCTGATCCATGTGATAGATCTGTTCATGGAGGGTGGAGCAGTGCTGGAACTGACCTCTGACTATGTGTTCCTTCCAAAGTTATGCTTTCCTTGAGTTATGCTTGCTTAGTCTCAACTCTGATTCAGACCCTTCTAAAACAGTGGACTTTAACTCAGATAATAATGCAATCTCAGCTACTGAATTTTATATGGCTGATATCTTAGGTAGACATATCCTGCTGTGATGAAAATGTTAGCAGCTCTGTGTGTCTTATCCAAACAGAAGCTGAAATTTAATTTATATTGTAGCCACTGCATTGTTTTGTTTACAGAATGTTAATGTGATATTTTTTAAATGTGAGCAAAAAGGCCAAATAAAATTTTGTTTGTCATCCAGATTCCTAAAAAAAACATCTTCTAAACACTATATTTAAGCAGGAAGCAGATCACCACTCCAAGTTCTGAACTATGACTAGAAGTTCCTTTCTACTTTAGATTTGCTATGGCATATAATAAAATCTTTTAGGGATGCTTACTGGCAATATAGCTGGTAAAATTCAGTCAATGAAAACAGTCCAAGAGTTTTTTTACCTTTTTCCTTCAAAGTAAAATCTTGGACTGGATTTTCTGAAGGAATGTTTCCATTTGGTATGACACTGCTATTTCTCTGAAAAGAAAGCAAAAAGTGACCAAAAATGGTAATGCCATCAGATAGCAATGGCAGTGACACCATTTGAAATGATGAGTTCAGCAGAATAAGCTTAAAATCCATTGTAATCTTTGTTTGAGACTCAATATGGATGCCACTAATTTCCCACCTACACTTGAAATGTGTACAGACAGGGTAAAAAAAGAAACAGTGGCTCTTTTTATACTGTGTGTTGTCTCTTAGATTCACACAACTTTGGTTGAATGCTCCATGCTATCCTGCTACCTCTATCCTGCAAAATCTCCCCACAGTGTAGTAGCATGATTCAGGGTCTGTTGTTTTTCAAGTGATCAGAAATCTCTCACTCAGAAGAAGAGTCCCAAAGCATAGAGAAGTGCAGAATGTGAGAAGAAGCCCCTTGAGTTACCTCCTAATTTTATCTCTTCTTTCTTAGGTCCTCTAAATTCATGAAGTTCTATAAGACAGAGATAAGTGCAGGACATGGGACCCTTCAGAACCCTCCCTATCCTTCCCACCCATTAGTTTGTATAATAGGTGGCTACATCTGGGTCCTTGTGAAAGTATTTTTTACCCTTTTTTGGCCCCGGTCTCGTTTGTGGATTTTATTGAGCTTCTTGGAATGGTTTATTCCTAGTTTGGTACTCTTGAAAGATTCTAAGCGCTTCCTCATTGTCCTATGGAAAATCTCCTTGTCTTGTTTGTCATCTTCACTGTGCATGATCGCATGTCGACTGTACAGGTGTTTGTGCTGTGGCCAGGAAGGGAAGACAATATTCATTTACTTAGAAATACAGGCGAAAGCCCTGAATCAATGCATTCAATCAGTGTCACGAAAATGTAAACAACTCTGTAAGAATGAATGAACTAAAGACTAGCCTGAAGACATTAATGAAACTCCTATTTTTCTTTTTTCTTCATTAAACAAGTCCAGGATTTTTAAGTGTGTAAGAGTGAACTATTATTCAAAGTAAGTTTCTACCCTGTAAATGTCTGAATCCCTTCAGTTGATACGCTTCATTTAATCCTGATGAGAAAATTTGCTGTCCACAGTTCTGCATTCCACTGGCCCCAGTGATTTCAAAGGCACTAGTTCTTTTAAAATGCCATGTTCTTAAATGAGAAATCACACAAAGAGCCTATCTTCCTCAAGGATGCGTATTTTGCAGTCGATGCTCTCCTTTTGAGTTTCACTCACATGTTTGGTTCCTATTTCCTCTTAGTTTTAGATTAGAAAACAGTCCAATGCTAGCCTCTTGTTCTCACCTCCTGCCTGGGTTTATACAGGTACTGCTGTAGAGTGTGATGAGCAAGGGTATCTTCTGTGTCCCGGATACTTTTCCTTCTCTGCTCTAAAGCTTGCATGTCAAGGCAAACCGGTCCAGCTTTTTCTCTCCTGAAGAAAAACACAAACAGTGGTTTTTGAAATCAGTGATTGCTGAAAAGGAAGAAAAAACAGGAAGATGGGGAATGAAAAGCAGAAAACAAGATGAAATTTTAAAAAATTTTAAAAAAAGGAAGAGTAAGAACTGGCTAAATGACCAAGACTGAGGTAAATGCCTATTAGGAAATGTGAAAATATCATTGGCTTCTGTGTTTAGGGGGATGTAGTATTAATTAATATCACAATTTACATGACACATGGTATATTCAGTAACAGATTCATCAAAAAGTTAAGGAAAGGGCAATTCTTTTCCTTGCCTCTCTCCGTACTTTTTCTGGAGCAAACGCAGAAATAACATCTAGCCCTGTATAAAAACAGCTGGTAAACCAAAGGCAAATTAAACAACTCTAATGTGGATGTCTGCTTCATCTTACCAGCCTTTACCGGAAAAACTGTGTGTAAAATATGACATTATAAATCCATATATACCCTTTTTCAGTAGGAGAAAATATTAATTAAAGTTAAAAAAAGTAGTGACTGAAGCCCCAGTAATTTGCATTTTTCAATTTTTTTAGCAGTGTTTCATTTCCCTCTCATACACCACCCCATCAGTCCACTTTACTTACAATAAATAAGAGACAGAGCTTTCTACAGTGCTTGGGAGCGGAGTGCTGAAATCCACATTTACCATGTTGTCTGTACTTGGAGAACGAATAAAGGCCAGCGAACCTCTACGTTCTCCCTGGTCATGGAAAGAAACAAGACATATTACAGCTGTAAAAGCCTAGGACAAAATGTGTATCAGAATACAGATAATTTGTGAGACTGTATTTATGCAAATAGAACAAGAAGCATGGGAGGAGTTGTATCTAGGTAACAAATAAAAACCATTTTTAGGTTTTATGGTTTCTTTATGTGGAGTGACATTATCCCAAGAAACAAAGCAAAGAGAAAACCTATTCCACTCTTAGAAACTGATTTTGAAGAAGTGAATGATTTCCCGTGCCTCATTAGATTTGCAATTTTACTTTGTACAATGCTGCAAGCCCAGACCATAGGAACATACATAAGGAAGTTTATGTTTCAACACATCAACACATTATCAGTAGCATTTTCAAAGACACGACATTAAGTTTTCTGTCCTCTACCAGACTGGAAGCAGCAAATATTAAGTGGTGATAGAAGTCTAAAAGACTATTAAAAAGAGTTTATGTCATGACAAGATGAGATATTGAAGAGATGAGATTTCTTTCCGTTTTAAAACTGATGCCACAGAAGTGAACTACTGGAAAAGCTCAGTTTATGTCTTCATACTTTTCCCTACACCTAAAGTAATCTCTTGTTTAGCTAAAAGGTATCTGTTGGGTGACACTGTGGTTACACAGGCTGAAAACATCTATGGTTTTAAATCACAGTGGAGAGAAATCACATAGCATAGATCTAGATTTTAAGCAGTAATAATCAAGAAAAATCACCTCCCTTGCAGAACAGAGATTTTATCTACATTTCTCCAACTTTAACTGTACTGTGTTCCATTTACATTTTCATATTTATGGAACAAACAAAAAAATGTTTTCTTTTGATGTGGTAACCCACATATGTATCAGTATGTGGGTTACCAATGGCATTAAGAAATACCCTGTGGCCCCTGCAGGCAGAAAACTTGAGTTTAATAAAATTGAATTCTGCGAGAACATCGTCCCATCTATTTTCTTAAGTGAATCTGACTTTCTTTTCAAATCAAATTTAATGCTTCATACATATATCATACCATATAATCAGTGAAGGTATTTTAATCAGAACAAGTTACAAACCATGAGTATTTTAAGTCACTTCCTTTCAGTTGCTCTGGGTTATTTTCATTTTTCTTGGCTTAAGTTCTCCCCTCCCAGCTGTAAGGAATTTACTTAGATAGAGACTGAACTCTCTCAATTCTTATTTATTATATAGATGCACCACAGCAGCAGAGTTGAACAAAGAAAAATATATAAAATAACTTTTAAACTCCTCCTTTTCTTGCAAGTAAGAAGAGAGTGAGTAGCTGGGGGAGGCAGGTCTTTACTTGTCTTGGAAGAAATAACTTCAGTTTCAAAGTCAGCCTGTAATTCATAGATATTTAGTTCAAAGATATATTTGCAAAGCGAAGTTTTCTTTTAATACATTCTTTCGATACATTGTATCATTGAAGAAAATATTAAAGTGAGAAAGGTGAAATTACTTTAGAATTCACAACTCATAATTAATTTCTGCTGGAAAAAATATATTGCAAAACTTCTGTAGAACTTAGAGAACTTTCAATTTCTATTATTATTGGATCAGTAGATATTTGCCCAACAGAATTTATCTGCAAGAAACAATATACACAAATAGGATTTGGACTAAGGTAACAAAAAGCAGTTCTGTTGTGTTTCATCTCCTAAGCATTTATTAGTTGAATTTTAGAAATCTTTCTTTACTATATAGGATCAAAGACATTATTGGATAAAAATTCTGACTCTAAATCTGCATATATTAGTGATCTATAAAGCCCTTTGCATCTGTTAAAGAAACACTATAATGAATCTACTGTACAGATTCAGCAATGAATCTGAACATGAGTTTCATGGTCATCCACCTCAAAGTCATTATCTAATTTTCTTCCTCTGAGGTGTGACCCAGAAAGAATCACAAGAAAGAAAATTAGTTCTTGAGCTCAGATGGTCTAAAAACCAAATGGATACTTTACAAAATCTCAAAAGGAAGAAATTGCTTGTCTTGTTGAACTATTCTCCATCTTCCATACTAACATAATTTCTGAATTTAATCTTGTTTTCTCAGTTCAATCTCCAAAATTATATGTTCCATTTGAAGAAGACTTTCTGGCTGTAGCTCATTAAAAAAAAAAAACAAAAAACTTAGGAGTAGTAGTAGTATCAATGATAGTAAGAGTTTTTATTTAAATTAAAATAATTAAGTGATATATCACGTAACTATGAAAATTAATCCAATTGCAGATTATGGACATAGATAGATTATAATTGCAAAGACCAATTTTACAAATATTCCATTTAAAACTATCCTTTGCACTGTATCTATACTGCACATTTGTGGCTATTTGAACTGAGGTGACTAGCTTCATCCTGAAGAAGATTAGGATCTCTTACACAATCAGGCAACATTGCTGCAGTACTCCTGTAAAGGTCAGAAACTTTCTTCAAATCTTCAAAAACTTCTCCTGTTGCAAGTCTTAAGTTTCCCTAACTTCACAATTCTTTCATTGCAATTGATATTTGTAGTATATTTTACCCTAATTACTCAATTGTGGGGGTTATTATTCCATTGAATTAAAGTTACCCTTTTATATTTTTTTCTTTTGTGCATGTTACAGTGATCTGGCAGATTGAGATTAGCAGTCCCACACTTTGGCCACATATGCACATCATTTGGAAGTGAGCTTCTTCAAATCAGATTTGTCATCACATAGAACGACTATCCTGCAGGAGCCAGACCCTGTTGACACATTTAGAAAGATAATACCCCTCCAGAATTACAGGGGTTTTTTTCATTGAATGAATATAGAAATTAAGATATTCTATAAAATGCAATAGAAATGTACACTGAAGTAAGTACAATATACTAGCATTTGGTGATCAAGCACAATGCTGAGAATCACAGCTTCTCAAATCAACAATACTGACACTCAAAAGACATTAAAAAATAAAAAAAGCAAAGCTGAGATAGAAATAGTTTTCCTTTAGGCATCTGCAATAGATCAACTTTAGGTTATAGTACAAATTTTTAAAAAACAAATTCCAGATGATGCTATAATATGTCAACAAGTGTTCATAAGTACCTCAGCCACATAGCTAATTGCATCCTTCAAGTTGAGCTCATGGAAAACATTAAGGATTTGGTCCCTTGATTTTTGAGCAGACCTTCTCATCAGTATTTTTCTGAGGTATTTCCTATCAAAATTGGACCACCTGATAATTTAAACAAACTGTGTTAATGGCAACAAGCAATTTTAGTTTCAAAGCATTTTTAATTTAGTATAAATTATATTTTTTTAGCTAAACACTTTGAGAAAAAGACTGAACAATGGAATGTGAGGGTTTTGTGTCTTGAAGCTTTTTGATTAGCATGTAAGGAAAGTCAAGAAAAAGCCTGCTACAGACTTATTCAGCTGTCACAAAGCATTTAATCAGTTCACTCACCCAACACTACTACAAGAGTGCTATGATTACAGCATCCTATTTAGGAGTCAGTAATACATTTTATACTTTGGGATATTATTTTACCTTATTTTTTTCACTTCTGATTGATTAATTTTCTTCCCTTGTTGAGAAAGTAATCTGCTTTTTCCATGCATATTGTAGGACAGCCAGACCAGAAAATCAGTTCAAAATTACAGTGCCCTTCCAGAAGCTCTACCAGAGGGCCACTGATGTGCCTTTAGGGATAGTAGCCATGTGCATTTTCAATGATTTACACTTCCAAGGTTGTCTGATAGTAGAATATCTGCCCTGTCATGTTTAGGGTCCAAAAGATTAAAGGCTGTTGCACTTTCTTCCAACTTTCTCAATACTTCATCTAAATGGCATGAGGCAGCTTTGGTGACTACTGCTCAGAATTTCTCTATCCATCTCTCCCAATGGCCATTTTGAGCTTTTGATTCAGATTGTGTAAACCTTTTTGTGTTAAATATTATTCACATAATTTATAGCTATTCCTCTTTGGCCAGAACATCTGACCAGAAGGCTCTAATTCAGGTTGCCACACCTGAACCCATCAGTTAGGATGCTAGGGGTTGCTGTTTCTTTATGGAAGCAGCACTTCCGTGTACATAGAGTCCAAAAGGCAGGCTTAAGATAGCCTCATTCAAAATACATTTGTCATCAAACCACATACTCAACCATGAATCTATATTAAGCTATTCCTTCTGTTCTTACTCAAGGGGATTACTTTCTGACATGCAAGAGCTCACATGCTAATCTGCCACTTTAAAAATATAGCTCTGTCTTTGAGGCAATATATCAAAACTGGAGGCGTATTTGCCTGTATTATATATAGCCTACTGAAATTTATTCCCGAAAAGTAAGCTATAAACTTAGACCAAAATAAAGAAGATGTTCTGTCTGTAGTGCCTCAGAAAATTTTTTACTACATAAATAAATGAAGATCAAAAGGAAAGTAAGGAGATTGTCTCTATAACTGGATGCAGGTGAGTAATTCTGCTTGAGTACAAGCTATCTTCAGCCTAAGAATTGTATTGTTTTGCATGATAATGTTAAACCTAAGCTAACAGACTCAGCTTCTCAGAAAGCATTAGGGGTGTGCTCTGCAGAAAGCTAACACAACCACATGGCTTTTGGATTGGAATTGGCATGTTGAGTCAGCAAGAGGTTAGTTAGCAGGTCAAAACTGTGACTCTTTGCACCTATGAAATGACCTGACTGCAGGGAGAGAATGGTCTAACTTGAAATAACATTCTTAAGGATGTCCAGATTTAATGTCCTTTGTTTCACATTTATTCATCTAGGTATGGAAATGTGTCCATCACAAGGGTAAATCTTCACATGTAGGAAGGAAATGGTGTATCTTTCAGCTGAGTAATTTTACTTCTCTCTAGATGAATCAACTATAAACAGAGGGGATGGTTCACTATTAGTTTCAGACAAATAGGCTGAAACTGTCAGAGTAATTTCAGAGCACCCTCTGCCACAACTTTCAGAGGTGTTGAACACATCCTTGTAGAGATAGGATAAACAACTAGCATAGTTGTAGGTCAGGATTTTTATTGCCTCCACACATAAATAGTGTTCATTAAATGTAGTAGTACAAAGAGAAAGCAACATTAACATTCTAGGTGAAAACTTCTGCAAATAGTCCGTTCTCTAATCTTGAGAGGATGACCCCTGTATGTGAACTGAGGCACCTGCAAAGGCATAATCTGAACTGTGGAAGAGAAAGGAAAGATTCTAGTTGTAAGGGGACAAAATTACACTGTTTTGACATTTGCTGCATTTTCAATATTTTCAGTATGCAACCCTTTTAACTGCAATTAGCATCCTTTCTTTCCCTAAGCTCACAGGCTTAAAAAGTTGTAATGTACAAATACTATTTCCTAGCAGTATTTCAAGATTCTAAATTGGTTACTACTTACTTGTCTCTCAGATAATGATGCCCTATTTGTCCAGAAATGTCTTCTATAGCAGAAAGAATGTGATCAAAGGCCTAGGAAAGTGAGAGTGGAATTAATATCTTTACAGAAATGAAAAAGCATAATTAGAAAATATCTCAATTTATTTCAGGTTGTACCAGGTGACCATGGAGGATAATTTTATGGCTATTATAAATTTTTTTTCCCCATTTACAGAAGTACTAACTACTATAAGCTTTTCTGCAAAGGTCCTGAACTTTCTAACCAGTTCTTCATAAATTCACTTAAGTATTCTAGAACTAAAAGGGTCTCAGCGAGAAGGTACTCAAACCCCCATTTCATCATTCAATTTTAAAACTTTTATGAACTCATTTTATCATCTCCATTTCTGCCCTATTAAGTACATCTGCCACTATTAGTGTAGGTGGTTACTTCAGTTGAGCAGTTTCCACAGTGATTCTTTTTAGATGTTTCAGCAGTTCATACTCCCCTCAGAGTAGAAGTAGGCACCATTCTTTTAATATCTAGGGCAAAATTTCATAGTGAGTGTATTAGTTGGCTGATAGAAATCTGGAGGCTTATAACTCTTGATTCAAACCAAGGCAGCTGCAGGTACAATTTGGCCTTTTTCTGTGTATGGTTATTAACATTTCACTTGGAACATTGGAATTATTACTGCAGAATACACAGTTGCTAAGTTTGGAAGATCAGGGCTGACATTTGGCACTGGTGAGGCTGTATCTTAGTCCTGTGTCCAGTTCTGGGCCCCTCACTTCAAAAAGGACATTGAGGTGTTGGAGCATGTCCAGAGAAGGGCAACAAAGCTGGAGAAAGGTCTGGAACACAAGTCCTGTGGGGAACAGCTGAGGGAGCTGAGGTTGTTAAACCTGGAGAAAAGGCGGCTCACTCTCTATAACCACCTGGAAGGATGTTGTAGGCAGGTGGGTGTCCGCCTCTTCTGCCATGTCTCAAGTGAAAGGACAAGAGGAAATGGTCCTCAGTTGTGCCAGGGGAGGTTCAGATAAGATTTCAGAAAAAAGAATGTTTTCCCTGAAACAGTGGTAAGCACTGGAATAAGTTGCCCAGGCAGGTGGTGGAGTCACTGTCTCTCTAAGTGTTCAAAGAGTTGTCTGGGTGTGGTACTGGGGGATATGATTTAGGGGTGACTATGGTGGTGATGTGTTGATGGTTGGACAGGATGTTCTTGAAGATCTCTTCCAACCTTGATGATTATGTGATGTCTTATACTCTTCCATCCTTTAACCTACATTTATATTGAAAAGTTAAATTTTCTTTTAATGAACGAAAATTTTATAATGTGGTGTGAAAGTCAGTTGGAAGAGTTTGTGTTTCAAAATATTCTAAAAGGGCAAAGAAATCCTGGGACATACAACATTCACACTGAATTAAAACTGTTGTCATTAATCTGGAATGTCAGTATATAATTTTTCTGTACTGGGCAGCAGAGTATTTTTCTGTGTAACATGCAAGCTACAAAGCCTGCATTCATACCTTTTCCAAAAATTAAGTTTTTGAGAAGGAAAAATAAAATTTTTTGGACATGCTTTGCCCTAGCAATCATCAATCATTCTCCTCTTTTAGATGAAGACAAAGAAGCATATTCCATCTGTGCTGTCTCCCCAGTACTCACAGCCCCACTGAATTCTCAAGTGAAAGACCAGAACTTTCATATGAATATCCTCTCATAGAACTCCAATCAAAGAAAAACAGCAATGTACAAATAACGTTTGAAATGTTTGAAGGATTTTGATAGCCCACTCCCTTACAAAAAGACATTTGCACTAATAATTTTGTTTTCTCTTAAGGTGGTCTGTAAAAATGCCAAAGATACCATGAGGTTTTTTTTAATATCTTACTCTGCCATGAAGTTTCTCATTCAGTTTTGGTTCTCTGTGTTCAGTTTTCTTCACTTTCAGCCACTGTACCAAAGGTTTGATAGTCAGTCCCTAAGGATTGAAACATGACAATAAATGCTTAGAAGTCCTCTTAGACTTTCCTCCAGCCAGTTAAACAGAAATAAAGCACATTTGTGTTTTATTTGGTGGTTCTCATACTTTCTCAGTTAATTTCTATTCCTTCTAGAAGATAAAATAATACAGTACCTTCAGCTCCTCTTACAAAGATTTGAAAAGACAACAGTGGAAAAATATACCATCTATAGGAAAAATATGGTAGGGGAAGAGGAGAAGTGTTTCCTTTGCTACTGAATATGGTATTTTCTCCACAAATCAGGAATCTGTGAACACAACTAAACTTTTTGTAATACACTTTAGAAAATATTCTAAGCTGCTATCTACTGACATATTTTCATTAAAATTGGTGGTTTTTCATCCAGGAAGTGCTATTTTGTTTAGATGTTAAATACTTTCTTTCCCCACTGCTTGCTGCTATTTTTTAAAACAAGGACTGAGGCTCAGGTAGATCAGCTTAATGGCTGTATCTGCCCATTAAAAGCACGGTTCCCTATAGTTATTCACATGAGGTGAAGGATGTTTAATCAGATATTAACTTGGCACTATTAATACCAGGCAGCTAAGACTGAACAATTTTTAGCACAGAGGAAATTGTGTTTTGCCCCATGTGGTCCCACATGAAAACATAAAATAGGATCTTTGTTACTAAAATTACAAATTCAATTATGCTTTCAGTTCAGTGAAACAATATGCAACCTTCAGCTGAGAACTGCTTTAAGCATTCGGTACATTTGAGGGACTCCTTCTCCTTGCAAGAAGCATGCTTGAGAAGTTAAATTACCTGGAATATAACAGTAAAAAACACAACAATGATAGTCGTGCTGACAAACAGGTTTCTGTCTTTTACTTTTTTCTCCTCCAGAAGTGCAACAAGAGCAAAAGCAACTGCTCCTCGTAGTCCACCGTAGGACATCACCACCTGATCTATTATCTCCAGCTGGACAGTTCTGTAGCGGTTAAGAATCCACGTCTGTATAATGACACCTGTAACACACAAATGTCAGCGTGTCTAGAAATATCCTTATGGAACGTCTATATCCCAGCTTTGAGTAACAGAACTGGTGCCACCAGTCTGCCTTTATAACAATCTTCACCATCTACTTCCCCTTCTTATCATCGTGTTGCCCACTTGGTGTCTTCTCATTACATCAAGCTGAAGGAATTAGGTTAAGCTGCTTCTGTGAGCCAGCAGCTCTTCTGAGAGTGCTGCCCTCTGGCACAGGCACTCCAGGGAAGGTTCCGCCATGTGCTGACCTTGGAAATTCATTAAGAAAGAATAGGTTTTCTAGCACTGTAACCAGTGATATGCACAGGGTCAGTTAACAGAAACAGGTTAAACCAGCACTGATTTAGGGAGTGTGGTAGCCTTTTGAAAATCATTGAAAATTATGTGTAAGTAATTGTCTTATGAAGGGTTGTTTAGTTATGCTAACACTGTGTCCAGACCTACAGGTGAGATGCTGCCCGCTGCAGGAGACCTAAGGCTCTAGCTGTGTCAATGTATCCCAGAACTCCCTCCATACAGAGGGAAAACAGCTTCAGCATTCATGTGACTGACATGGCATGTGTGTCCCACTGCAGCAGGCCAGTGCAAAACAAATTCCTCTCTTTTTAAAGAACTTTGAACTTGTGCCAAGAGAAGTGTCTTGTAACTGTAAGGAGGGCCACTGGGGGAGGGGACCTTGGAAATGCTACCAATCTGACTCCTCCACGGAATGAGAACTGCGATTATGTAATGCCCAATATAGTCAAGTATTTAGTAATTTGTCAATGTCTAAGATAAATTACTTTAGTGGGTGCTTAATGTTATTGCTGAATATTTACTATTTACTTATCTATTACAGGATTGTTAACCACTCATTTGAGGAATACAAAAAGTGTCAAAGATGAGACACTTTTAAAACACCTCAGGTGCATTTGCAGTTACTTGCTGAGAGGCAGCTAAATTAACAATGCTTTCAAAATATTTAGAAAAGGAGGGCAAGGAGCTAGGCACTTCATTCAGCTCAGGAGCTTCTAGACAGAATAAAAACACAGAATCTAGGAAAACTGCCAGCTAGATAGATGTGTGACCTGTCATTTGAATTTAAGTCAAGACAAAAAGGCAAATAAGCTGGTTTAACTTATTCCCAGGTTCCCAAATTGCCATGTTTGTTACTCTCTACAAGTACTTCATTCTTCACCTTTTTTGCAATTTTAGCAAAACTACAGCAGAACTATGTGGCTGGGCATATCATCATTGGTATTTTGAAATATTTGCAAACGTATATAAACCCAGTAAATTGACAGTAGGTAATCCCAACCTGCCACAGCCTTATTTACTCAGTTTTTCATCAGTCTCTGAGAATTATTTCTAAAGCCAGAGAACCTGCAGTGTAATTATGTATGGTCTGATATCACTGTGTGCCTAAAACCTGAAGTCAGCCATAACATTAGCTTAAGACAATCTCTTTAGTGCCAAATTGAAAGAGCTGAAGGAAAGATACGGCAGACAAGAGTCACATCTTTTGTTAGATTGCAAGTTAAAGAACAAAGTCCATTTTACTGGAAGATTTTGCCAATACCATTTGCTGGGTCAACAAAGGTTAGCCGCTGAATGATTCATGTTAACTGCTGGGCTACTCATATCTTCACACATCATCAAAAATGACATCCTGCTATATTTGCAGCATATGACAGAACTTACTGTAAAGCTTACCCTACTAGTCTAACACAAATCCAGCAATAAATTCAAGTAAAATAAATTGAATGTTTCAAACTAAATAAACATAGAATTCCAAATATTTTTTGGGGGAGAGGGCTAAAGAATATGTGATTGTATCAGCAGTGCAATGCAAAAACAGAAAGGTCACTCTCTTACCAATAACTCTATATACAGAGATGAAGACCAGAGTCAACAGAATAAAAGCTGTATTCCAAGTCCAGATATTTGGATCCACAGCTGAAATACCCAGGAACATGAAGATAATAGTTTCTGCTCCACTGGCTAGCATTTTCATAGTATATTTTACAGTTGTAGAAGACTGTTCAGATATGTTAGCCTTGACATATTTCTGACAGCAAATGCCACAGAAGGTTATCCTAGAAAAAGAAGCAATTGTTCAGAAAATATGTATCGCAACATATAATACTATTTCCATCTGTCTGTCACATAGTGATAAAAATCCACTATTAATTCCTAAGAAAAGATACATTCACGAGTACATGGAGTCTACCCTTAGTAGAAAGCATATCTCAAATATACATGCTGATGTGACCTCAAGTGGCCTGAAGACAGCATTTCATTTGAACATAACAGACTGTAATTCTCTTCAGATTACCATACTGCTTTCAATGCAAATTTTTGAACCGTGTTTACATTAGACATAATCTTAAACTAATGATCTGTTTGCAAAAAGATTTTCAGAACTTGAATACTATATCATCTACAAATATGACAAGCAAAACTGAGAAGAAAGGGATGCTGGGAATCAATGGAGACTAAGAGGAGAAAGACCATAGAGGTACTCAAGCCAAAACTGGCAACATTTAGGCAAACCTTAATGGTCAGCCACAACAGAGAGAGAACGAAGAATAGTGACATTCACACAGTCCCTTAGAAAAATATTTATTCAGTTTCAAGTAATAAGGAAAGATGTCATCACAAATGGACAACTGTTAAGTTTGAAGTATTATTAATAACAAAGAGGAAAGAGTCATGTCTTTGAATTTTGCAAAGGAGTTCTCATGTTGCTCAGCAAATACTGGAAAATTTGCAGTCCTTTTCAAGGCTGAATGACAGGATTGGTAAACTATAATCTAGTGCAGTGTGAACATAGTATTATCCAGCATAAATGTAATGAGTCCCATATATATATAAAATATATTATATATTTTTTATTTTTATATATATGTATATATATAAAATATAGTTGTCCCATATAATTTAGATTTTCCTTTCAATGTTTTTAAAGAACATTTTCCTTTCTCATCCCCTTTGTAGGCAGTAATAAAAAGAGACTTACGCTAAGATGGCAGAAAGAGAAAGCATCTCTGCTGTGAGGTATGACAGGTAGGAAATGATAAACACAAATCCAGGTTCAATGATCCTCACATGCTTGGTGAAACGACTGACCAATGAGAGCAGGAATGCAAAGAAAATGCCAACCAGTGTCCCACCAAGGCTCACCACGAAGAATGACACTGAAAAACAAAACACCTAACACAACTTAAACCATAGAAATATAATGGTTTGACCTAGTTCTTTTCCAGAGAAAAGACAGCAAATGGCCAGTAAATCACAGAAAAATTTGGAGGACATGTCAAATTCATTTCTAGGCTCAAGGCTTTTGAGCACTTTGTATGTGGATGTCGCATTCTGTAGAAAAACAAGGCTACTTCTTTAGTAAAGAAGTTAGGCCTCACCGTTTTACTTTTATTCAAACCCACTGCATTTCTTTGTACTATTTTTTCCCATGCTCTGTAAACAAATGTTTTTTACAAAAGCGTATTATAGAATATGACAAAGTCACTATTAAAACATTTATTCATAAGATAATTTAGTTTCATGCAATGCTTAGAATAGGAAATAGTGACTAAATTTTCAGGCAAAATTTCTTGATAGTTACTGGCAAACATTGCTTGATGGTGATCAGTGATAAGGAGTGGCAATGCCTGTATGCAATCTCAACTTTCCTGGAATGCAGGGAGACCATAGGCTAATATAAAGAAAATGCTATAAAATACAAAGAAAATGTATATAGCTGATAGTTTTGGTGCTCTCAGCAAATGAACTCCACATCTGTTGAGCGTCCCCAAAAGAAAACAGATCTGATTAAGTTTCCCAAATATTCAAGAATATTTTTTTTATTTTCTTAAGATATTTACCTGTGCCATATAAGTGTGTGAATATGAGTAATAATAGAAAGGCATGAAAAATAACAGTTGCCAATAGCATAATAATAATATTTTGTTTAAAATACTGCATATATACACCAACTGTGTGATACAGAATTTATTTCTACGCACCTATGCCTTTGAGACATTCAATTCCCGTCACATTCATTGGACCTATCGCAACAAAAGAGTCAAACACATTGTACAGCACCTGGAAAGAAAAGTAGACTAATTTAATAATTGCTCCTGAATTGAGCCTATTAAAGTAATCTCCTTAGGGGCCTCAATATTATGAAGTCTGAAATTGTGGGGAAATTCTGAGGGAAATTCTGTCTGGAGCAAGAATTTTATATTTTCTCAAAATAAAATAAATGCAGTGGGCCAAGAAGAAACAAAAATTTAAAAAAAAGAACACTTCACAACAATACATTTCTCTCTTCAATATGTCACCCATAAAGCATTGTTACATATATATGTGTTTTCTAAAGCACATTTTGCTGTAAAATCAAAGTATTTGAAAGATTCATTCCCTCACACATATAAGATAAATGAGATAATTAACAAGACAGTAGTATGATGCTAATAATAAGATACTGAATTGAAATATGTTAAATATATATAAGTTGGACATGAGAGAATATAATAATTGTGTTAAAACTTTTAAAATAATTGACTAACAGTGATTGAGCTGAAAGTAATGAATTCACCTTATCCATACCAGTGCCTAAGGGGGTTTATATGAGTATAATTTTTGAGACATGTCAATTTAATCTGCTCTTAGTTCCTCCACTGGTGAATGAGGCTTTCTCAGCTTTCCTTGTTGTTGCAGCTAAACTTGATAATTCTTATTGTATTCATGCAGTCATGGTATACAGTTTGCTTTTTTCTGTAACAGTAATCTTTTACATATTTATGTCTAAAGAATGCTATACCATCCACTTTCTTCTATCTTCCAATCTTTTCCTTTTCAAGGTAGTAAATACTGTTTCAAATTTCCTCATAGGCTGTGGTTTGTAGCTCTGGATCATACTTGCTCTTCTGTTTTTTTATCAATGAACAATCAAACTTTCTTTTATTTGTAGACTGTGTTAATTTCACAGTAACAAAATCTCTTTTTCTTCTGAAAGCCAGCGATGTTGATACTTGAGTTCGTCAGAGGTTTATTTTAATTTTGGCAATAACCCAGAAGTACTAAGGATACCAGTATCCAAGGACAGTTAGGTTTCTCTGGAAGCAATTCTGTCATTTTCAAACTCATGAACAGTTAGGCTGCTGCCAATGACTTTAGAGTGCTTTGCTTCCTTGGCTGCAAAAAGTTAAGTCATTGAGCCTCCTGAACATGTCTTACCCTCCCTTGAAGATAGGAAGGAGCAGGAATAGGAAATGATCCAAAAGTGAACTTAAGCTGCACAGCAACTTGTTTGCATAGCATCTTTCTGCCTTAGGACTTCCTGGTCCCTGACCACTAGCACTGCATTACAAAATTATTGACAATTTTGTCTGGGGGAAAAAAAAATTGTGTGAAAAGAAAAGGTGTATCAATCAAAATTAAAATATCAGTAGGAATCTGGAATTATTTTACATCTATTACAGACTTTCTAAATTTTAAAATGTTTGCAAAAAACCCCAGAAACTTTCTAAAATATCACACAATTTTTTTTCCAAATTGACTCTTTGTTATATATCTGTTTGATAAACATCTGACCAAAGTAATGCTAAGGGAGCAGGATAAACACTTTGAAGAGTATTCTCTCTCTCACTGGCTAAGGTCTGCATATAAATTATGAACATAATACAAATATGTAGAAAAATGTATGTGCATTAAAAAATAACAGCAAAGGAAGGCTTAAAATCTCTGGAACTGATTTCATTAAGTCATGAAAGCCCTACTTGAACAGCAAAGGCATATAAAATATGCACCCATGAAATTTCATTTGAAGTGTCCAACTCAGCACTGTGTGTTTTATGTCACATCTCCAAATAGCTTTGAAGATCAAACATCTAATATTTGTGAGCAAGAGAGAAAATACCATTAGCTGCACTACAGTAGCCCATGAGTAGATACACACAGAGAGTACAATGTTTCTTTAAAGGGGAAAATGCACGTTGGAAGAAATCCCCTTAAGTTAGTTGACTTTGGGATATATAATTTACTTACCACAGTTACAGCATCATTCAGAAGTGATTCTCCAAAAACAATGATGAATAGAACTTCATTGACATGGACTTCTTCAAACACTGCCAGAACAGCTACAGGATCCACAGCAGCAATTAAGCTGCCAAACAGGAGGAAGTCCAGCAGCCCAGAGTGCAGTTCACCTTCAAAAGCAAAGCAAACAAATTATAAGCAGAATAATCTCTGTATTAGCAATAGTAATGACAGACTGGGATATTACAGAAAATGCCAAATACTAGAAAATAGAGATGCCAAGTCATCAACTGGAAAGCGTGTTACAGTAACTATTTCTGCACTGAGTCATATTGTATCCTGCAAGTTTTTTTTTTGATTCAGCATTAGCCAATGTGGATCAAAGTTACTTCTAGAAGCAGGAGCAGTACTATCCTGTTCTTGTGAAAAGACAATTCCAGATCTAAACGCGCTTTCTATTTGTGTGTCGCATGGTTTGTCTAACTTGACTAAATTATCTCAGGATAGCTGAGAACTCACAAGATGCTAAGAGGGCCATACCAGCACTTGTGAAGTAAATATTCCAAAATATTTCATGTCATGGGTCAAATTTGACTTTTGATCACTAAGAACTGCAACAGTGGTGTTTAACTGCACTCAGTACAAATTGTGGCCTCCTTACTCAGTGATAGCTACTTGTTAAGCACTTGTTTCCAAATTAGGATTCATGAGGCTGTTAAATTGCCTGCAAGTGGACCATAAAAATAGATGAAGGACCAACATGTTTGTGTTATAGCCCCTAAGGAATTTTGGCAACGATTTCAAAAGTTTTGAAGCTACAAAATTCTGGTGACAGTGTAACCCAGTATTTTTTTAAACTTACTTTTAGTTATTAAGGTTATTTTGTTCAGTTATGGAAACAGACCAAGACAAGCATTCACTGTCATTTTAAAAGTAGCAGAAAGAAAAGTTGCATAGCCACAAAAAACGCTTTGCTCAGCTTCCTAAATACCTAGCAAAATCTACCCTCTTCATGAAATCCAAAGTGGTAACAAAGTAATTTTTTTCTAAGGTAAAGATTTCTGAGCAGTAAAATTCCCCGTGTGTTCACTAATGGGTGGAGGAAGCAAGGTTCATTAAGAAGTGATGTTGCCAAAAATCATATGAGGAAGAGCAAAGAAGGAACAGGTTGAGAATTCATTCATTAAAACACAATGCAGAGACACATGCCCACAATTTTCAGGCATGATTTCTACAGGTAAAGAAGAAATCAATCTAATTAAATGGTTTTGAAGCATGAGTCAGACAATGACAGTCAGTAGCCATAGCCACAGCCACAGGATCGGTAGGGCCTGTAAGGTACTTCCAGAACAGTATGGCCACCCCTCTAGAAAGAACTCTGAAAGGTAATTTTTCAAATTCAAAATGGTTTGTGCTTAGAATGTAATTGAAACAGAAACCAGATTCCAAATAGTTTTGATACAAAATGGCATAGGCTTATTTACTCAAGAAAAGGATACTTATATGGGCAGTCAGAGACAGGCGTAGACAGCACCCTGTTATATGTGACAATGCCCAGTACTCTGGTGGAACTGCAGATGTATATATTCTCTTAGCTATCTGCCAATCAGAATATCTACAAGGTTTCCATACAGTTTGTAGGAGGTATGGCCCTGAAAATAGGAATTCATAGCTTGCACAGATGTATAACTATGTTATTTTTTCAAGAAGATAAATAGTCTTGTTCACATTTGGACCTACAGGGCTGTGAACAAGGAGTGAGCCTATCAGTTTTAACATGCAAGTGGGGTTGAGGCAGTGACCTTAAGTCTGTGCCAAAAATTCTGAGAACAGCTGTGAACCTAAATCTAAGCAATGGTTCCACCAAATGTTGTCCTTCTCAGGCAGGCCTAAGGAAGGAACAAGCCCAATGACAATAACTATCAGATATCAGGGTATAATAGAATGTTAAGTTTTGAAAATAAATTGGCTCACTGAGATTGCTTATCTTTTTTATGTGTTACCAATTATAACAATTGGTACATTCTTTGAAGACTTGTAAATCTAGAAAGCAAATATTTATGGGGAGGTTAGGACACATCTATTATTCCTACAAAGCACTGTCAAGAGGCCTGGGATTTTCTAAGTCAGACTTTCATTTAGAGTAATAACAGCATTCAATTGGAACATGACCATGGCTTCCTCCATCTCATCAGTGACACCTGACCAAGATAAGTTCACTGGGCCTAGTTTAAGACTTGTAGACACACTCAGTATTTGCAGCTGTGACCTAGATTGTATAGGAAAAACTATTGTAAGCACTAGTCACAACCACAATATTGCAAGTGTTAGTTCTCCAGTGAACAGTGTACAGTTCACTGCAATCAGCAGTTACATAATTTTTCCTATTCTGTGGAAGCAGACTGACACAACTGATGGTTAACAATGTGATACTCTTTATTTCAGTTCTAAAGAAGGATTTTTTCATTACCACCTTCTCCATTTTCTTCCTGCAAATTATTATATCTCAAGAGTATCAAATGCCAACAAAGGTCTGCTTTTATGTTTATTTATGTAGGAAATCTATGCAATCCAGTTTGGATTATGCATTCTTATATTGATGGACAGTACTGAAAGCTCACTGAATGGCAATGCTAGAAGTCTTTAGTTCTCAAAGCTAGAAGGTTTTAGTTCATCTTAGTCTATAGTGGATTTACATTTCTACATTTTAATGATATTACTTTTATCATTATTCACTTTAATTGTAGAACAAGTGGGATAGAAATAAATATATGCCATGGAGCTTCGACCAGAAGGTACTATGAACTCTTCTAGAAACTGAGCAACTCAACATTCTCCTATCTTCAGCAAGTAACAACAGCAAGGTTTTTCACAGTGTGGTGGTTAGATCTTGTTGACCTCTTTGAGGTCAACACAATAGATTTAGTGGATTAGTAAGTCTGTGCCATGTAGGTATTTCAGACACCTACTCAGCTTTGCTGGAGGATGACATAGTTTGAATCAGGGTCAGCCTTATCTGGCCTTTTTTACAGCTGGAATTAGACCTCTAGTAGGTCTTCACGGCAAAGACAGGTCCCCACAGTACACAAATAGTGCTCTTTATAAGCATTGAAGTTTGCCAGACATGTCAGTTTCTTGTTCGCCTTTATTAAGATACCCAAATTTCTCTTGTAGAGCTTTAGCTATGACCTGTGGTAGGGGGTGATTGTCCTGTGTAGCTGTAAGTTCAGAGTTCTAGTATGCATTTTCACTAAAATATTTGCATACGGATGAAGCAGAACATATAACCATGAAACCCAGCTTTTGCAGTTAGCCATGAGTTGTTTACAGATTGGGAGGAGAAGAATAATTTAAGTGAATTTTTCTCCTAAAATTTTTATTTTGGAAAACAGTCAACTTTTCTATTTCACATGTTGTAAGGAAATCTATCCTTTCCTTTTAATGACTTATAGCAACATATTTTTAAAGTAATTATCATACATTGTATTTCTGAGAACAGGTTTTTAAGAAAATATTTTTGGCCATATTTTTTAATTGGTCCAAGCATCTTGGATATTTAAATAAAGAAATTTTTTTCCAATCTGCAGTAGAAATATCCCTGTTATATGTTTTCTTTCTGAACACCTGATTTTAATTATAAATGTGATATTGTGGATCAAATATATTGCTTAAAGCACAGTAAACCTCTTATCTATCTAAAAATGTCAATGATTTTTGCATCTGATCTGTCACCTTTGTATCTTCCCAAGAAAATATTACTGCTTCTAAAATAAGACTCATAACAAGGTGAATATCTAAAATGTATCTATCATAGCTGTCTATATTACAAACTTCAATTACATAACATGAGTCTTAAATGGAAGTAGTGATTAAGTACTGCTGGTCTGTGCCTCTTCTAGCAGACCTGTGCCCTTACATCACAGTATAATTAAGACAAAATGTGTCTTAGAATCATAGAATGGTTTGTGCTGGATGGGACTTCTTATGCCCTCCAGTACCACTACCTGGGATGCCTTCTGCTAGACCAGGTTGCTCAGAGCCCCATCCAGCCTGGCCTTGAACACTGCCAGGGATGGGCCACCCACAAGCAATACGAAACCCTCACTTTTTTGGATTTGTGGTCTATAGAAATTGTGCATTAACCACCTTATGAAGCCCTTTTGGACTGCTCCCATTAAAATGGCTTCTGTTTTTTTATTTTTCTTTTAATAAGACATCTGCTACTTCATTTTGTAAAACCTCTAAATCTTCAGTTACAATTTCCAGACTCAGAAAATGCAAACAAGATGTGTAGATTGGTCATGCATATATACCCTCTCAGGAGCCACTTAATATTAGATAACACTTATTGTAAATAACTCTTAATTGCATCAATAACATTAAATAGAGTAATATAATCTATTATTAAGTAGCAGTAAAAATAACACATAATACTAAAGCTGACTTCAGGAAGACACTTTCATTTCAGAGTAACTTTTAAGATTTCTATCACAGCAGAAAGAAACAAGCCCTTTAGTGTATATTTTTGTCCAGATGTCCATTAGCATTGAGTTTTATCCTGAAAGTGTGTGCCCACATTTAGAGCAGGACAATATAAGAGACATGGATTCAAGTAGCTTTTATACTTTCCTTAGGGAAGATTTGTCCCTAAGGAAAAGGTCATTCTTAAATTTGATAAAAATATTACAAACTGCTCCCATTAAAATAGAATTTTTCTGCTGGAAAGAGTTGTTACATTGTAACTTATCCCCCATCTAACAGTATATACAGTAGCATTCATAATTGTATCTTCACAGATCAAACTTACCCATTATTCCTGTCAGATAGACACCGTAGAGAGATAAACCAGTTGTGGCAGCATTCCATACTGTCCCAATGACGGCATACAAAAGGATGGAGCCAAGATTTCCAAAGAACAATCTATTTGGCATAAAATACCCAGCATCCAAAACAATGGGAGGAAGCAAATAGAAGAAAAATACAGTTGGTGTCAGGGAGAAGGAGGCAAGGTGATCTGCTGCCCATACAATGCCACCGAGGAAAAGACCAAGGACAATGAGCAGAGCGCTTTCTGGTACCACCCGAGTGACTTTGTGGGACAAGTGGAAAACTGCAAGGAAACATAAAAAAAGTGTGTCAAAAATTAAATGGAGAAGCAATTTGAGCAATGACTGTTGTTAGCTGTCAATTTTGACTCCACACAAAATTTTTGCTTTGATTTTGATTAGACCCAAAAGCGTACATGGAATGTTTGGGATACAGACACTTATAGAATAAAAAAAAAAGGAGTTGATCTTCAGATTTTATCCAGCATATTTTATCTGAAGCCAATATATGACATTTATATCCTTCGTCGGATTATCTTCTCTTAACAATATCTGTTTAGGGAAAGATGATGTTCTCTGCAAAGCAGTAAGTGCAAGGCTGAAAAGCAATGGAGAAGTCCTGGAAATGGATGACATTATGGTTTATTTCTGTTACTAAAAATACACACCCAGCTTCCTAATTATTGTCTTTAAAAATGATTCGTTTATTAACAGGCCTATTGGAAGATATGATAAGGATGCTGAAAGAAGAACTAGTTTCAAGACAACTCTTTTTTAAATGTATAAATATTCTGATAATGTAGCCTGCAGCAGAAAATGAAGATTATATCATGGGAAATCCCTTTTGAGCCTTTTCTTCAAGACATCCCTAATAAGGATTTCTCATAATTCAGAGGCTTTCTGAAAGAAATGAGGCTTCAGTGGTTCCTTGATATATGTATTTGTGGGGAATGGTTCTGCAGTAGGCTGCCTTTTTTGTATAGGGTGTCAGAAAATTTGTATCTTATGATAGTATGTAAAATCTGTTAATAAAGACAAACAATATATGGTATCTATCACAGCAAAATATACAACAGTATGGTTTGGTCAAATTATTAGACTAGCCAATAATTAGAAGGGGGGAAAATTACTGAGTTCCAGGAGCAAGTCTAAGGAGACAGAGAGATGGTGCGACCAGACAGAAAAAACAGACTGTTCAAGGTGACAGCAACACAACTAAGACTGCAAATACATGTGGCAACACATGCGTTTGATAGTATCAGATAAAACATATGCATTTGATAGGTATCAGATAAAAGAAAATAAAAAAGCAGAGAGAAGAACATAGAGAAGTCAAGTCTACAAAGAAATATTGGAAGAAGAGAAGTCAAGTCTATATAAAAGAGAAGTCAAGTAAACATAAAATTAGGAGGAAAAGGCCGAAGTGTTTGATAATAAATAAGGATGGGTGGATTCGTTGAGTTCCTTGGGGATTTCTGTAAGCTTGTCCTTCAGTTTATCTTAAGTAATGATGTGTCCCAGACGGCCTGAATCCTGGTATTTTGTGAAACTGATCCAATAAATGTGGCTTCACTTACATAGCTTTGTGTTGAAAACGAGAGTTACACTCCAGAAAGAAAATTTTAGTAAGAGCCACTAAGTTTCTCCTAGTTCGAACATCAGCTGTGTTGAAGCTGTTACAATGCTAATGCAATTTAGCTAAGAGCTAGCTTGGACAAAAATCCATCATTATGAATTCCAGACCCTTAAGCCATAGTGGAAGAAGCATTCCAATGACCATGGAGAGATCTTAGACCAGGTTACTTTACTGAAAGACCATTGTTTTTCTTCCCATACAAGTATTTGTCCTTGTCAAACATTTACTAGTTACCTTTTAGGGTGTTTTAAGGGCCCCACTCCTGAACTATCGGCTTTTGCCTTGGCAGCATCTACACAGGCACCATCATCATTACAGCAGCCCCACAATAATGTGCTTCCTTTAAGCTATAGAACTTATGGCAATAATGAGTGTGAATGTAGATGTTCCTGAGTGTTTGCAGACAAGACTTGAAAACATGTTGGAACACAGCTAAAAAGTGGGATTAATACAAAAGCAATCAGACACAAAAACAAACTGCATTCAGTGAAGCTGGCTAAACCATGCCAGCTGTCTATATCATCGGTGTCATGTAATGAAGAGATGAATGACACTTCACAGAAACAAACACTCTGTTTTTCCTGTTAAGTTTCCTCTCTTTGTTATAAAATCCCTTGGGCTTGCATTAAAAAAGAAGAGAGAGGAAATTAAATGAAGAAAAGTAAACTAGCTACTATTCCCTGTGTACAAATTGTGGCATTTAGCTTCTCGAAAGTCCTTCCTGCTAGTCATTCTTGATTCCTTGAATTTCTAGTCAGTGAATTATCAACTAATTTATCACCTCACAGAGAGGGGATTATCTCCTTATCCCTGAAAATGAATGTTGCTAAGCTAGTCTTACTAACCAAAGTCTGTTTTTCCTACTCTTATGTTAGCAGATAAGCCATGACTACAAGAAGTTAAAGTTAAAAATTTAAAATGAACCTGTGAAGACATTTTAAAACTAGGTAAATCAGGGGAAAAAAAATGTCCAGCTAAAATTTCATATTCTGTAGGATTCTCCCCTTTTCAAACAAAACCAGTTTTGAATTCTGTGAAGCCAATCTGATTTTGGTTATAATATTGTCTCCTAAAAGTTGCATTTTCCCAGTTAATCAACTCTGTCTTATCTGTCTCAGTCCCCTTTAACTCCAGCCACTGATTACCTGTGCCAGATTTTAATATTATCAGCATTAAATTCTTCTGCTCTGTTAGTTTAAGGATGGAGGCCATGAACAGGAAAGTTATTGCATGAATGGGGTCTAGAGAAGCCTTTTTTTCATTTTTGTATTTGGCCCAAGCAAAATCTGAAAACCAGACTGTATTTGTTTTAAGATAACTGCCTAGCTAACTCTTCAGACAGATAGCATGCTATATGATTAACAGAAATATGTCTATAAGCATATAAATAAGTAAAAGGAAAATACCACAACTGATGAAATTTAATAAAATAGCTTAGAATTGAAATGCAATTGGAACTTAGATTAATGTTTGACCTCATATTTGCACCTACATAGATTGATTGTTTTTTTCTGGATATGTCTATAAAATATATTTAATTAAGATTGTATATTATGAGTAGTTATTACATTTGTGGAATTTGATAGAGATAGGTTACTTCCAAATTCACTCCTTAATGTTTATTTTTGCAATTCATTATTCTGAAGCAATGTCTCTGATATATTCTGAGAGTATTACAAACTCACAGAAAGATGGCACTTCCATAAAGTTTCATGAAGTTGCCTTTACTGTCTAAAAGAGATCCAAAAACTGTCCCACAAAATTAATTGTGTCCCCATGACAAAGTGGAACTGGAAGCTTTAATTACAGCTAAATGTCTAGCATGACTAGGTGTTTCACCTGACTGAGGAGCAAAATACCATCCAGCAAGGTTTGTAAACTCCTAATGGACAGAGAGTTTAGTTTGATTCTGATGTGAAAGAAATTTCAACTATCAGGAAGGAGGATAGCATGCAGTGCTGCTCAGATAAATTGCCCTGTTACAGACCCAGAAATGAAATTATCTACTTTCACCACTGTTAATAAAGAAAAATACATTAATATATTTTAATGAGATGAGGAAAAGGGCAAAGAAAGAGCACCTGTAGTCAGTTCATGGCATAGAAGAAATAACTGTGCACAGGACAATTTTGTGATCTATAAATTCTTACATTTATCATTTTAACATTTATAATTTGGAATTCTTCTACCTAAGTCTAGATACAATATTAAAGAAAAAGTGAAACGTCTGCCTCCCTTCCAGTACATGCTATACTTGGTTTGAAAATGGGTTGGACTGGCTACAGGGTAAACTGTGTTTAAATTCAAGCTGAGCATTACCAAATTAGAAGCTTTCTACAAAATAAGGTACAGTTACACAGTGTAAACATCCTGTGATTTTTTTCAGGTGTTTCCTTTGAGATCTAGGAAAAGGACCTGTGATATTTAAGCTATCTGACAAGAAAGACAAAATAAATTAGCAATCTATGATGTGGTGGCTGGAAACACTTTCTTTGACTCAAAGAATGAAACATACTTTAAGAAGTAAATTGGGATTCATGGCTTTTTATAAATGCAGTAACTTAGATTAAGTCTTTCTGTGGAATTTACAGCATTCAATGAAGTATCTCTTGCTTTCTAATGCCATCTATGACTGGTTTGGGAGATGTAATTTAACAGAATAAGCTTTTTCTCACTTAATCAAAGAAATGAAGTCACGAAGACTGGTTAAAAGAAAGGAAAAATTAATTTAAAAATAATAAAGAAGAGATACTGTACAATTCATCTTCAAGATGTAATATTTGTAGATACCTAAAATTTTTTTCTGATGTAGGGTTTCCACTTATTTTTTAAATTATCTCTAACAAAACCTATTTTTAATCAATAGTGATTTTTTCTTATCAAAGGAAATAATTTAGTATCTTAGATCTAGATTTTTTTTTGCATTATTTTCATCTGAAATGAACGATTCAAGATAGATTTACAACTTTTTGAAAATACAGCACTGCAAAAACAAAAATCTGAAACAACCTATTTAAAATACTGCTAAATTTCAGGATTTATGCAGTTATTTCAACACTATTTCAAATGATTAATTATATTAACTTTGATACTGTAAAATCAAGTCTCTGAAAACAGTAAAATTATTTTTGCAGCTAGTATCACTGTTCCAGTCAATCACAAAACCTACTGCATGTGCACAGTACACAATATGCCATGCACAGAAATCAAGACTTGATGTATAATAATGATGATAATTCTCTGCTGATTTTTTTCCATGTATCTTTGGATAAAATCCAAGGACACATAAAATAATTTAGAAAATTAAAATATGATGAGCCTATAATTTCCATAGTTTCTGTGAAAGCATAGATATGAATCTGCAAACATTTCTAAGCTCCTCTTATCAGGGTTAGTGGCAGGCATGATGATTCCTATCTGCATTTTTACTAGTTGTTCAAATACGCACTGACACTCCCTTATTAGTCAGTTTTCCAGTTCTGACTCTTTATTTTCACTTAAAAAGTTAAAGTTATCATACTTATCAGGCCATGGGTGCTTCTGATTGGAGCTCCAAGACTTGATTCTCTGTAGCTGGTGAAAACCCTTGCCATTGACCAAATTGAGAGCAAAACACTGCAAGCCCCTTTGAGCTTCTTTACTTTTCAG